ATTGCACCTGTGGGACCTACTGTTTCTTCCTCAGAACTCTAACATTAGAAGCCATGCTTTTCTTTTGGAACTTAGGGCTTCTGCAGTCGGTGCAAAGCGCCATCTTGGAGGCACGGAAGGGGAGAGGCAGCCACACGGTGGCTGCCTCAACCCCTCCCAGGACGTCATCAGGGGGTGCGCCGTTACGCATGGCGAGCATCATGAATACGTCCTCTCAGTGCAGCATCTTCATGTGCTGCACTGGTAGAGGCACAGAAGAGCCGCACAGTAGCTCTTGATGTGTCCCTTCTCCCAGCTCTGGAAGGACTGGCATTTTAGTGCTCCTTTCAGGGCCAGCAGAAGGGAGGATTGGGGCTGAGGCATGGGGCAGCCTTGGCCCCAATCCTCCGCTTCCCAGGGCAGCCCACGGCCACCCGTCTGCATCCCCCCATAGTTACTCTCTAATGATACATTTCTTTTAACATGTTATGTAAATGAACATGATTTCCACCCTCCCCCATCTAATTTTATAATTTTTATATTTTTATTTACATTCAAAAGGGAACTCAGTTACATACAATAACATTCTGGTATAACACAAGGCAGGAACATAAAAACGCAAATGGAGGAAAAATAACCACATTGTTGTCCATTTTTACAGAAGCTGACCAAATATAAGTCCATTTGTAAATTTCATTGAAGCATCACTTTTTCAAGTGTTGCAAACATTATTAGATCTGTCCATTGGATCCCAGGTGGAGAAAAATTATCTTTCCAGTAACTGAGTATCAATCTTTCAGTAGTCAAAAGAGCACAGAAAATTCAGATTGCATTAGAAATGTATTGTTGTGTTGTCTGTGCAAATATCACAAGACAAATGAATGAATGAAAGAGGCTGAGGGGAATTGTGCACGCTGTTTATTGAACCTGTGGTCCCTCTACACACATTTTTTTCTGGGGTTCCTAATTACATACATAGGGTTTATGCTTGCTGGGTCAGCCCAAGACATTTTGCTGCTCAAGGTAAGGTAAAAGATGGTGCCTCCTCCATGCTATGAACAGAACCTGATAGCTGGTTGAACTTTATTTCAACACCAGTAATGGGATAGGGTTCACACCTAACAGGAACTGTCAGTGTCAGGGGATGGAGGGCAAGCTGTGTGATTCATACAGCTCTGACCTTCAAAGGAGAGAAAAAACCCAGAGGATTCAGGAAGAACAGATATGGGCAACCTCTGCCATTTCCTACTAACTACCAACCAAGCTGATCATCTCACTCTGCCTAAAGGAAGGGCCAGCCCTGTATGTATACATACGTTTTTCATTAATTATTCCTGACATTTTACATACATACAGTGAGCACCCATGGGCAATGTGGTTGACCTGTCTCACTCTTTAATAATAGCTTTTCAATTTACAGTCTGATAGGACTTCTCCCACTCCTCCCAGCTCAGATGTACATGCCTAGAGTCAGTGGCATCACTCTGGTTGGTGTTACTTGCTGTGGGTCCCTGGAAAAGGCTGCAGGAGGGGTGGTGGACTACCCCTTCCTCCTTTTCTCTCTGCCTCCCTCCCTACCTCCCTCCGCTTTTTTCTCCTGCTTCCCATCCATCTGCCTCCTGCCCAGACCACTGTTGGGGTGGTGGTGGTGCAGCCTCTGTATGGACAATTTAGGGCAGGGGTAGGCAACCTGTGGCCCAGGGGCCGGATGCGGCCCACCGAGGCCTTTGGACCAGCCCCAGGCTGGTCCTGCCGCCGCCGCCGCCAACCCCTGCTGCCACAGCCACCCGCCATGATGATATTGATTATTGTTGTTATTACTTGTTCCTGGGGTTTTCTTGGCAAAATCTCCACAGGGGTTTTGCCATCATGGCTTTTCTGGGGCTGAGAGAGTGTGCATGCATATTTTTTTTAAAAAAAATAAATTAAAAATTTATTTATTTTTGCTTCGGCCCCACAATTGTCTGAGGGACAGCAACCCGGCCCCCTGCTCAAAAAGGTTGCCGATCCCTGATTTAGGGTCTGGAGCAATGCCCTTTCTTGCTTGCCCAGCAGCCATGCTAGTCCCACCGGGTGTACACCCCCCTGGGCCTTCTGCATCCTCTAGTGACATCCCCTACCTAGAGTTCTCCTTCATATGGATTCTGGGAAAAGAATGTTCCCAAAAGCCCAGAGAAACAGTCAACAAATACAGTTGTATATGTGAGGATCTTTTCAATCAATACACCAAAAACATATACAGTGGGCCCTTTGTATATGTGGGGGATCCGTTCTGGACCCCCCTGCATATGGAAAAACCTGTGGGACCTCAAGTCTCATTGATTTTAATGGTGATGTGCTCTTGTGTGCAGTGCTGTGAGTGCTCTGCAGGCACGCACACCATTTTGTCCCCCCAGGTTTGCCATCCTCGTGACCTCAAGTCCACGTATGGCAAGCCAGCGTATAGGGTGGGCGGACTATATATATTTTGGGACAGATCCTGCCATTTTGATACCTTCTTAGGACATTTGCTGCCTGACATGGAAGAACAAATGCCACCCTCTCACAAGTCAATTTATATTTTATTCAATGCCAACTAGGTTATTTTGGCATCTGTGGCTGAAAATTTCACAAACACCTATCCTCACCCCACCCTGCATTAAAAATACAGTAATAACATATTGCTCTTTCATGGAATCAAAAATTTGCTCCTTGAGGATGGGGCTGGTTCTCATAGCTACCATTGTACACATTCATCAATTTTTTTAATTTTTTTTAAAAAATTAAAAAATCAGAAATGGAGCAGCTTCTAATTGATAAATAAAGCCACTCTCCACATGAATTTCAAATCTACACATGCACATTAATTTCAAATCTACAGGTACGTTGTGTGAGTGCGGCCCATTCAGATGGAAAACATCTATTTCAGAGTAGGAAGAGAAAGTCCAATTAACAAAAGGATTACCTGCAGTCACGTATCCCAGAGTTATTGGTAATTTTGGTATAACCTTCAGGACACTGGATTTCATAGTTGAGAGAGCAAGATCTGCATTTGGTTTTTGTGGTAACAAGTGTCTTCTCATCACAAATGTTCTTCCTCTAAAGGAGCGAAGAAGACAAGTTGAAGCATGTAGGATTGCCAACTTTTCAGTGAGGCATTATCACTATGCTTTTAAAGGCAGTTTCAGTTACAGAAATTAACAGTGGGTTCCAGATTATTTTGGACATCATTAATATTGTCACTAATTTTATTAAACAGATGTGTAACTGAATGTCTTCCTTCATGAGGCAGCTAATAGCATGACCAGTGAAGAATAACTATATATTAACATTCCACAGTAGTAAAATAGTAAAATAACAGTAACAGTAGAAGAACAGTAACAGTAAACATCAGATTAAAACACAGCATCATAAAATTATTCAAAGGTAGGAGCTTCTTATGTATGGGCTTCTTAAAGAATGGATCACATGTATTCCTCTGCTTCAATTTTACTTGTGGCTGAGCTATTTCTTTTGGTTTAGGCGGCTCTGTTTAGTCGGATAGATAGGTTTACAGCCAGTTTATCTGTTTTCATTGAGCTACGTATACTCAGAAGTAAGTCCTCCTGTATTTAGTAAAATTTATTCACAACTAACTATTACTCCAAAAGAGATCATTTTAACAAAATAGTCAATATCAGCCAAAAGATACTATGACTGAGCTCTAGAATTTACTCCAGAATTCATCCCAAAGTCCAGAATTGTTTTTCTTTGCATTTGCTGTCTTGCCAGTAAAAGTTGATAAGTACCAGCTACCAGTCAGATTGTGGCTGTTAACAGCTGTCAAGTTGACTTGATTTATGGTAACCGTATGAATGAGAGATCTCCAAGGCTGCCTCCACACTGAAGAAATAATCTGATTTAACACTGCTTTAACTGCCATGGCTCAATGCTATTGAATTCTGGGAACTGTAGTTGGTTGTGGTACCAGAGCAAAGCTCTTCAACCCAAATATCCAAAAGTTGTTGACCTTTCTGTGTATTTAATTTATACATGTACAAACACTCTGCTCTAAAGTAAGCACTTGTACATGGACTTAGAAACCATGCAAAAACCAAGGCTTCAGACTTCATGGAAAGAGTGAGTCTGTGCAAATGCTGCTTTAAATAAACACAGAGATTGGGGTGAGGAAAGCATAGCTTGATATAGTTACTTTTTTGGACTTAGAATACTCCAGAATGGTTTGAGGGTTCTAGAAGGTATAGTCCCCCCCAAAAATTTTCCCCCTCTCAAGCTTTGGGAGAAAGGAGGTTGTGATTCCACTTCCCCTCTATGTGCTAAGTACGTAAGAATTTTAAATGACTGACCAGAGCTACTATTTTTTAGCAAGTATGAAACCAAATTTGAGAAGGCAGAGTTTTGTCTATAGATACAGCTTTCTGTGTAGGCAGGCGGTATGACAGCCCCTGATGTCATCATATAAAATAAAACCATTTCTTACCTGCTCAGCAATTGCCATTAAACCGAAGGTATCTGCAGTCAAAGATGATAGAAAGAATAAGACTGTAAAATGCTTCCTCATGATGAAAAAAGAGTTCATTATTATAAATATTAATGTTACAAGCTTCTCCCAAATTCTATGCTTAGCTCATCCACATGATTAGACAAACACCCATGTAGTTCCAATAATACAGCTTTCTTTTTCTTCTGCTGAAACTAAGATTGAAGAGCATGTGAAATATGACCAGAGGCAGGAAAGGCTACTCAAAGGCAAAGGGCTGGTGATGAGAATGCTTACAGCAAATGTAGTTAGCATTTCCTAACAGGCATCCTGCCATACATTACTGTGTGGTCTCTTCTCTGCAAACACCCTCACTTTCAATTTCTGGCATTGTTGACAGCACAGTTCCAAGGACATTGATTAGTAACAGAAGATAACATTCTGGACATGAGAGACCTAAGTTCAAAAAGAGGCTGCTAAACACAATGGATCATTCTTATATGAACCATAATCTGATGCAAATGGATTTGTCATTTTTGAAAAGATGTACACCTAAGATAGAGCCAGTGTGGTGTAGTGGTTTGAATGTAGGACTATGACTCTGGAGATGAGAGTTTGAATCCCTACTCAGTCACAGAAACCTACTGGATGTCCTTGGGCAAGCTACACTCTCTCAGCTTCAGAGGAAGGCAAAGGCAATGGCAATCCCCCTCTGAACAAATCTTGCCAAGAAAACCCTGTGATAGGTTCATCTTAGGGTCACCATAAGTTAGAAACAACTTGAAGGCATCCGACAACACATAAGAACAGAGCTACCTCTTAGAGCTCAATGATGGCCATTAGAGAAGGATGAGTTAGTTACTGAAAATTGTTTTCTTCTGGATCTGTCATAGTATTGGCCCCAGCATTATCAAAGTCCAACAATTGCCTGGGGCAGTAGACTATGAATCCCACAAATGTCAGGAAATTGGTATTGTTAAATTTTTCCTGTCAGAGAGAGGAATATGTGGAGTTTTCTGTTCTAGCCACAAAAATAACATGGCTGGCCTTGAGCGTTCTGCATCTTGACTAAGGAAAAGACGCAAGAACCATGCTGGCTCTCAGCATTATATTCATATGTACAACATGTATTATATTACAGCAGTCCATTTTGGCACTGTCACGTTTTATTTACTTTTCAAGTCACATAGAAGATCCAATTGCAATCATATGTAAGAGCCCCATACCCATCCTTTGCTACATTTGTTCTCATGCCTGTCTTTGTATGCATGAAAAGAGATAACTATGTGGAATTAGTTCCAGAAATAGTGATGGCACAGAAAGATGTCACAGTACTTAGGAATACTAGGAATGATGCCACAGGACTTAGGAAGATGCTGTTTGTAAGTGAGTAGGCAGACGAGATTGCCAGGCCAGGTGCTACTTTCTGACTTGTGTCATACCCATTTTTCTGAAAATGGCAAGGACACTGAAAGAATGAAGTGTGGCTTAAATGGGTGCTAAATCATCAGTGCTCTTATCAGTACACAGCTGTTTCCTTGTATTATTATCAGCTTTTGCTTCAATAATAAAAAATTAAAAGAATATATCACTTTAATTCAGGATTGCAGCTGCAGAAGTAGTATTATATTCCAACTTTCCCCAACTTTCTTTTTACCTCTTTCATTAAATCTGTGGCAGTATCACAATGAATGAATAGGTGAAATACAAGAAGTATCTTTTATGTGTTAGGACCAAGACAGTTGGTAATCTGATCTCTATTATAAATTGACAGAATGAAAACTAATCAAAGATCATAGCTATTTCACTGAAAATGGTACCAAGTAAGGCATATTTTGGTCCAGCAGTAACATTCACATGCCATTGTACACATTTTGTACTGAAAGAGAAATTTGGTTGCATAGAAACATATGCATATATTTGCAGTCATGTCTAGCCTCTGCCACATTACCCAAAGCTCATCAATAACTACAACATAATTGTTAAGAGAATACACCAGTGTTGAGATTATTCTGATGTTACTGTCAACAGAATGCACCATTACTTTCCCTTACCTGGAAAGTGGAGAAAGTGACATCTGCAGACCAAACACGGTATCCCACCCCATTTTTATAGCCCTCTTGAATCCCTCAGGAATAATCTTTTAAACCAATTGTACCCTAAAACATTTCTGAATGGTGTTATACTGCCTGAAAACACATTTGTTTTGCATGATTCTGCTCCATAACCTCATTTCACTCCTCTTAAATAGCCAAAAATGAAACCATTTATGGTTGGTTTGATTGAAATGTGTCCTTGTGGCTCACCAGAGGGTTATAGGGGCCAAAATTGTTTCCCCATCCCCAGAAGTTGGCTATCTCTGCCCTATACCCATACCCATATGTCCTTGGGAAAGGACATAGGATTTCCTCAGCAAACATAGATTGTTGTGAACTATCCCTGTTGTAATGCAAACTATTTTAGAGAGGCTCATCTTGAAGTGGAAAACAAGACCTGTGTACTTTGGAAAATACCTACTCCTTATAGTGACATAAATTGTTAGAACTCACAAATTGTACCTCATCAAGATACAAATTGTGTATCTTGATGAGGATCTCGATGAGGAGAACTGCGGATCTCTCTTTGGAAAAGTCTATGAGAGCTGTCAGGATAAGTACCTTCACTCCACAATTTATCACTACATCACTGCTTTGAGGGCTGAAGATTGTTTCCCGCCCATACGTTACGTTTTTCTTCTTCCCAGCTGCTATTTATGAGAAATCTCTGACTGGACTCAGTTGAATTTTGTTTTATTTTCATTAGCATGCAACATGTTTTGCCGGCTATCTGGGATATGTATAGATATATCAGTCCTTCTGCAAAGTCTTTCACCTCTTTTAGCCCACATTACTAAATCTAGAACAATGGATCATAAAAGCACTCTTGGAAAGTTCCTTGAGTTGACTGATTTCCCATCTCTGCTTCATGTTCAAGTCATCTCTTTGGAAAGTCCCTTGAGTTGACTGATTTCCCATCTCTGCTTCATGTTCATGTCATCTCTTTCATCTCTTGCTGTATGGAAGCCTGTACATGATCAAATGTATACTGTTAAGTAAATACATTCCAGGACTTTAATAAATAATATGCATACTGATGCCTATATAAGAAGGACATAGTTTCTATTGCTTTTGACATTAAAACAATGTCTTAATATACTGCAAGCCTGAAATTCTTTGTGAGGGAATCAAGTGGCACCACTATTTTTAAAATGTATGAAAATAATCATAACTTATTGTGAATCCATGTCAGAGTTGGTTCATGATATCTAGAATAATACTGTATTGTGGAAAGATTGATTCTTAGACACATTCAGTATGCTACACATGGAAACAAATGTTGAATTCCTTTCTGTTCAGTGCAGTTGACAACCTCTTTCAGTTTATCTTGATGCTTTCCCCACTTCCCAATTTGTTCTACATAGTGAAACATGTGCAATTAAATCAGCATCCCTCCACTAGCCACATGCATGAATTGCACATCTTCCTTTACAGATGCCTGTTGTGTGCCTTCAGGTCATTTATGACCTATGGCAACCCTATCATTGGGTTTTCCTGGCAGAATTTGTTCAGGGGGGTTTGCCCTTGCTTTGGGAGATTATCACATGTGACTTATCCTGTCTTTTCCCCAATGGGATGCAAGCACATTTAACTGTCAATGACAGATCTTACTGCATTCTTGAAAAGCCGTGGGATAAGCCTGGGCTGCATACGCCTGGCCATGGGAGGAATGCAGTAAGATCCATTATTGACAGTTAAATGTGCGGGTATCCTATTGGGGAATAAGTCATGTGCAATAATTTACTTCTTCTGAGCCTGAAAGAGTGTAACCTGCCCAAGGTCACCTAGTAGGTTTTCATGGCTAAGCAGGGATTCGAACCCTAGTCTCCTAGTGCCCTAGTCCAACACTTAAACCACTACACCACACAGGATCCTTACAGCAATGCATTTCACCTCCATAATATTATTCATTTATGAATATTAGTAACCACCAACAGTTAGCAGCTGGATAGCAGAATGAGCTAGCTTACAGATAACATTTATCACCAAAAAGAAAAAAAGAAAAGAAAAAAAAGCATCATAAAAGAAAAGAAAAAAGAGATCAGATCTGAATATGCTAATTTATATGTATAGATACAAATTTAGAAAGAATTACTGTAATTTTAAATGGAAATGTAATGCCACATAGCAGGGGAAAATTATGATTTTGTGGCCACTCAATTTACTGTCCAAGTGCTAACTGTTGGTGGGCAATTTCTTTTTTTTTTGTCTACTATTTATTTATTTATAACATCAAAAACATACAAACATATACATATACATATACATCAACTCTGTATTCTTTACGGTAAGCTCTATTATATAATAAGCAATTAGTAAAATATATACTTGCTTCTGATAATTCTTCACCCTTCCATACATCTTCTCTTATGTACATAATTTTAATTAAAGAAACTGAGTGAGTTAATCCAATAATATTTCATGTCATTATTTCAGTAATTAAATATTCATTTCTGATTCAATTCATTACAAAAATATTCTTATAATAAATGTCATCCTTATAAACTATATACCATCATTTATTATTTCTTTCTTTCCTGTTATAGTAATAAAACATCATTTTTAATTTTATGATCTTTTTATATCATAAAGCTCAGACCCCATTATTCCATTTAGTTTGACAAAATTTGCTTTGCAGTGGCTCCGGTCCTTCCTCTCGGGTCGGTCCCAGAGGG